GTGTTTTGTCATGGCAACAGCAACAGAAATTAACACACGATCTTAATTTTACTTAGGAGAGGAGTCACTTTTTATGTAAGTGTAACAAAAATATAATGGGGCAAATAACAAATATCATTAGATAAAATTAAGTAATGCTTAACATTTTACAGACACAGTGTGTCACATACGGACTGGTTTTCCATGTGAATTAACCCATGCAAGTGCTCATCACAAACTCACCACGTAAGTACCTCACTCCCTCAGTCACAGCTAAGGTAACTAAGGCACAAACAGGTTAAGTAACTTATTCAAATACATAGAGCTGGCAGAGCTGAGATTTGAATTTAGACAATCTGGTTCCAGAGGAACGCTGGCCAAACCACCTGAAATCAATCATGGGAATCCAGAAAGAAGAAAACTTACGTAAAAGGAGGCAATATATGGACTACAGAAAAGGGGGGGTTCAAGGTAGAAAAAAATTGAACCAGTAAGACACAGAGATAAAAAGTCAGTGCTTAGCCAGGCAGTGGTGGCATGCACCTTTAATCCCAGCACTCAGGAGGCAGAGCCAGGTGGATCTCTGTGAGTTCGAGGCCAGCCTGGGCTACAGAGCGAGTTCCAGGAAAGGTGCAAAGTTACACAGAGAAACCCTGTCTCAAAAACAACAACAACAACAACAAAAATCAGTGCTTAAGAACATATTGTAGAGTTCTAATAAGTCCAAGGAAAACCACGGTCCCTTCAGTCTGAATCTCTCTACATATTCTCCAAAATATTCTTCAGTCACAAGGAGGAGCAGATAAAACAACATAAAAAGCGATGCTGTTGGGGCTGGGAACATGGCTCAGTGGGTAAAGTGTGTGTGTGCTGAGCAGGCATGAGGCACTGAGTTCATGTCCCCAGAACCCATGTAAAAGCCAGGAACTGTAGCTTGTATCTGTAGCTCCAAGGGGGGAGGTGGGGGTGGGAGGTGGGGGTGGGGGTGGGGAGGTGGGGGTGGGGATGGGGAGGGTGGATACTAAAGACTGGTGGAAACAGTGAGCCCCAGTTTCAGTGAGAGACCCTGTCTCAAAAAACAAGGTAGAGAGTGACAAACACATTCACACCCGCCTCTGGGCTGTACACATGCACACACGTGTGAACACACTGCCGTGCACACACAGATGCATACAGCGCAAACACACACCCACAGCCCTCATTCTAACTGGAAAGCAGAGCGAACACAACAAGCTTAAATAGAAAAAGAAGCACGAACTCCCAGCCGGGTTCTCTCCACTTCCTACCAGCAGAGAGCCGTGGGGGGGGGGGGGGGAGCAGGCAGGCGGGGGCAAGGAGCTAGAGTCCTTCACAGCAAAAGAAATGCCACTTTCACCCTGAAATCATGGGACAAGAGACCAGTCACCAGAGCGCTGGCTGCGGAGGGAGGCTATGACATGGGAAGGAGCGGGGAGCGGCTGAGGAGGTCACCGCTCCTGGAGAGAAAAGGCGAAGAAGAAAGAAGCGTGTGCACGTGGCCTTGGAGTCGAAGGGTTGAGAGGAAGAAACACGAACTTTAGTGCAAGATCCCACGTACCGGAAGAACCCTAAACTAGAACAGATGATTCATGCTCGACCAAAGCGCAAAACCCCAAAGAACCCTTTACGGCGGCTGCACTTCGGCCCAGGCCTGAAGAGGGCGCTCTTCGCCTGGCTAAGCTCTGAATTCAGCCGCCTCTGCAGCCATCGACTGGACAGGCAGGAGCAGTCTGTTCAAAAACAAGCTTTTATGACCTAAACCCGGCAGCCTGGACGAGCTATCTTTAAAACCCACAAACGAGGAAAAAGAATACACAATAAATAATCATTTGCGGCTGTGGAGAGGATCTCGCCAGTCAGGAAATCAAAGCTCGGAACAGAAATAGACAAAGTAGGAAGGAAATGAAACAGAAGTGACCGAATCCAGGAAATTGATGGTAAAAGGGACAAGATGGCGCTGGGAATAAGAGCTGAATTTCTTGATGTCTATGAAAGAATGGATTTGAATAAAATTTAATAAAAAGTAATAGAGACATTTTAAAAATAAAATGAGATTTTTCTTTTCAAGACAGCGTCTGAGTATGTAGCCCTGGCTGGCCTGGAACTCACTCTAGACCAGGATGGCCTCAGACTCACAGAGATCTACCTGCCTCTGCCTCCAAGAGCTGAAATGAAAGGCTTGGCCTAAAATGAGATTTTTTTTTTTAAAGCACAAAAGGTCAAAACTGAAGTGGCTGAAATGAAGTACAGGTAAAAGGTCCAAGATATACATAACTAGGGTCTCTGAAGTGGGGAGGAAAACATTGAGACGAATTAATATTTAAAAGCATAATTAAAGATAATCTTACAAAAAACAAAACGTACTTGAATATAAATATCAAAATGATACTCCAGGTACCTAAGAAAGCTGAATCAAAATGGCCTCAAAACCTACCCAAATACAATGATCACATTTTAACAATAAAGAAAAAATCCGCAGGCTCTCCACTCAAACAATCAAAAAAGATGGAGGGTTAAGTGAATCACTTCTGAGTGAAATGAAAAGATTATACATTTCTACAGTTTCATTCCCTGGAAAGAATGTCAGCTCCTAACCTCTTTTAATGTTTCTAAATTTTTGTCAAGCTTATTCTAGAAATAGTTTAACACATATAAACATGTACATCCCTGCTGGAGAGAGTGAGGGGACAGGCATGTTCTTAAACACACACGGCGTGGTCTTTAGGAACCTGGAAGTCAGTGAATTACTTTCCCAATGCAGACTCCTGGGGTGACCACGGATATTCATATCCAAGCCCCTGATGTTCAACATCGCAAAGGGCAGCTCCATTGCTCAAGTGTGCTAAGGGTGACCACTTCCCTGCCACGCTCCTCCCACAAAGGAAAAGACAATTCCTCACTCGTTCACCCTCAAGGGACAGTAAACACACGACCTGCCGGACAGGAAGCTACCATTCCTCGGGTCACACTTCCTACTGCACAGAGTTCCTGTGTCACAGGCCACTGAGTAAACAAGATGCAGATTGCTGATGTCTGCAGCCTGTGGTATTTCATGTAGCCCTAGCCTCCAAGAAGTGGGTAATAGGTTATCTGCCCACAGCAATCCCTCTGCTGTTCAGCCCAAGGCGAACATATCACGTCATGAGTCTGTGTTGAGGGTCATCCTGGGAATTGCCCAGAACAGAAAGGATGATGTTTTGTCTATTAATCCTGTGCGATCCCACGTGGAAAGGAAGATTAAGACTTGGTTTCTCGCTACAAAATGTGAATACACTGACTGGACAAAGACAAAGATCAGAGCTGCCTCAGCGAGGTCTCTAAATCAGGAACGCAGAAACAGAGGAAGTGGGTATTCGATCATAAGGAAAAATACATGATCGGGCCAATTTTAGTACACTAGCTTCCTGGAATGAATATTTTAGTTACTCCCCTCCCTCCCTTCTTCCCTCCCTCCCTCCCTCCCTGTCTTCTTCCTTGTGTCTCTGCCTGCATGGACCGTGTAATTGACCAGAAGTGGCTAAGTTGCATGTGGCTAAAACAACACCATCCAAGATGTGGACAGGCAGAATCAGCAGGGCAGAGTTTGCTGGAAATTGGACTCTGGGTGCACACCTGTACCTTCTGACTTGGAACTCCTGGGACAGAGCCTGTGACCCTGTGCTTTAATAATTCTCCTGTGATCCCAAGCTTGCCCACTCGTGAGATAAACAGTGAGTGCACTCGTGTCTTGAGAACTGCAGTTTCCTAAGTACAAAAGCCAAACCATCTGCCCGCCCCCTACCCACTAGGAGCAAAAGTGAACCAGAAACAGAGGTCCTGAGAAGATGGGGGCAGGCTCATCATCCTGCTGCTTCCTTCAAAGGGGCAGCCTCTTTCCCTGGATGTCCCGAAATACGACCATTAAACCCAAAGAATTAAAGAAATGGTGGGAGGGGCCTGGCAGTGTGGCTCAGTAGGGCACACTTGCCTCCTTGTGCAGGGTGCTGGGTGGGTGGGTTCTCTAGGGAAAAGAAGAAAGGAGAGGGAGGAAGGGGAAGGGAGAGACCTTGTGTCCCTCAGCACTAGCTGGGAGCTCTGTGGTTAACACGGCTGGCCTCTATGTGGCTTCCAGGAAAGTCCACAAAGGAAGAGTTTCCAAGGAGCCTGTGTGTCAAAAGACCGCGACTCTGAGTCAGGTTGTTGGAAATATGATAACAAAAAAATCCAAGAGTCTAGTGAACACAAAGCAGTTCTTAATATATCGTTCTGTAGAAAAGACAAAAAAAAAAAAAAAAATGGCCAAATCACTGATTCTGTCCTCTTCTCCTATAGTCTGGAACTTGCACCCCTTCCAAACTGCCCATCTCATAGACCTAGGACACAAAGCTTCATCCAATGAACAGTCTGGGGCTTGAGGCTACCTCTGTTCCCCTTTTTGGATCCTGGGCCCAGTCACATGGAATTTGTCTAACCCTCAGAGGCCTGAGACAAACAGACCCCAGCCTCCAGCTAGGGAAGGGAAGGGCCTAATGCCTCCTGGAACTCCAGTGCACTCCGGCTTATCTCATACTGAAACTGGACCACAACACCCTATTCTTTAAGTGTGCCCATGCTCCCGTATGGCCCAAGCGTGAGCCTTCTTGATTCTGCCAGTTTCAGTGGGGATGGTATTTCTGTCTCCTGGAAGATACTTCTAGTTGTCTCTATCAATATCCTCAGAGCCAAAGCCATTTTGAATTTGAGATGAGAGACAGAGGTTTCCAGAATTCTCACTCTAAGGCTGCCTGGAATCCCCCACAGGAAGCAGCATCTCCTTGCCTGGACCCTCTAGAAGCCAAAACACCACACAAAGGGACAGAATGGCAAGATGTGAGCATCCTGAACACAAGGCAAAGCTGGCAGTTTGTTAGAACTAGAACACAGGGCTCTTGACCCCGCCCTTCATGTTCCCCACATTATACCACTCAACTCTCATATCTAGGTTGTTGTCCTGAGGTACAAAACAGAAAGGCATCCGTGCCTACCTGTTAGTGCGGTTGTTATGGTTATTTGTGCCGAGCGCAGCTCAGTGGTTCGCAGGAGGGTGATGTTTACTGTGTAATCAGTGGCTGGGTACAGATCTAAACACACTTCCGGAGCTCGGTCTCTTGTGGTGAAGTTAAACAAAGTGGCGTGATAAAAGTTTTCCAGATACCACCTCTGACCCAGAACTTTGACCTGTCACAAGATGGAAAGTGAGTGTCGCATTAGCTTCCTGTTGGCTTGCAGATTTCTAGACTATAAGCCGAGTGGAGGTACGACAAACTTCCCTCTGTTGATCTTCTTAGAATTATCTTGAAGACACCAGCGAGCTAAACTGAGGACAACCTCTACGAAGCCACTGAACCTACCCTACCCAGTTTCCCTCTCAGCCAGGTGTAGGACTAAGATTAAACCGCATCACCACTGATGGTTAGAAATAAACACATCTCAGATGAATAAACTGGACGGCTATTCTAAAGCAATCCCTTGGTGCCCACTCAAGTGAAAGAGACTGTAATGAAGCTACTGGGCAAAATTCTTTCCATTTCTTTCCATCCTGAGAAACCCACAGACAAGCCCCACTGTGCGGGTACAAGCATGAGAAAGAACTACCCCAGGCTCTGCTTTTAAAGCAACAATGCCCTCTCCCTTGCTCCTTCCTTCCCGTCAGAGCGTGGTAAGAGCTGAGGACTGTGGGGGCATCACACATACTGTTGTCTGAATCATCCCACTCAAGCAACATTGAGTCACAAGGGGAACACTTCTGTGACGATTCCAGAATAATCGGATCAAACATTAACAACCAGTGCACTTTATCTGGTGGATACTGTGAGTTTAGTGGTTCAGTTGGAGCTCACGTCCTTGGCTCCACCAACCTCCGTCCCTCCTCATTACGTCAATCACTGAGCCTTCCTCAGGTTATCCAAAACCTTAATAACTAGCTCATAAGATTCATCTTCAGCTATGTCCTCCTTCTCTTGGATCCTTCTCCTGGTATCCTTAGGGATAAACCATCAAAACTCGGCCCCAGAGTTCCTTGAGCTCAATGTTACCAATGTTCTCCACTCCGTTCCAGCCATCCACAGCCATGCTCCAGGGTCTAGACAGCATCGCCAACAGAGGATCACAAGATCTCACGATGCCCTCTTCTTCTGGACCACTCTCGAATACAGGTAGTACATTCATATATGATATGAACAACATTATATTCTCTTATGCAGACAGCTTTTGAAATGTTCATTTTCCCCCAGTGTATTTATCTATATTTCATGTGTTACATAAATTAATCACTGACACATTAAAAGTTTAGTTTCTTTTTCAATTTTATTCTTCAATCATTTTAGTGCAGGGAGAGAGAGAGAGAGAGAGAGAGAGAGAGAGAGAGAGAGAGAGAGAGAGAGAGTGTGTGTGTGTGTATGTGTGTGTGTGTGTGTGTGCATGTGCATGCATGCCTGCACGTGAATGCCCAAGGCTGGATATCTTCCATTATTGCACTCTATTTTTTTAAACAGTCTCTCACTGAACCTTGAGCCCACAGATTTAGCTAGCCTGGCTGGCCAGCAGCTAAAAGGGTCCTCTTGACTCTGCACACACCTGTACCCTGCTCTTTAGGCAGTGACGGGGTTCAAACTTAGTTCCTCATGCTTGGGGTGGCAAGCACTTTATGAACTGAGGCATCTTCCCAGTCCCAAGAATCACTTGTTTTCTTAGCCAAGTCTCTGGCTAGCTGAAATAAAACTCCTTTCAGTAGTAATTTGAAAAACCATTTTAGCCATAGAATAAACTATTTGGGTCCTTGAACGCTTCTCTAGCCCCAGGGCTCTTTCCAACATGGAAACTTAAATACTCACTTACACGCTTAAAATCCTCCAGTGGCTCCCGCCAAGCATTCAATTCAAAGCAAGGCTTTACCAGCCCCCGCTGGGCTCTCCACCTCCCCTCTTCCCACCTACTCCTCCTGGCTTTTCGTGTTAGCCGCTGTGCCAGCCACCCACAACTCCTTCCTCACCCTTGCTCCAGCTAGATCCTACTCATTTTCTATGACACAACACGGTTTCTCTTCTTAAAAATTTACACCCTGGCAGGGAGAAGTGGAGCACCGGTTCTTCTAGAGGACCTGGGTTCAATTCCCAGCACCCAAAGGATGGCTCACAGCCATGCAGAACTCTAGTTCCAGGGGATCCAACACTCCATTTCTGGTCTCGATGGGCATAAGGCACATACATGGTACATTCACATACATGTAGATAAAACATACACATTAAAATAAAACATAAATATTTTAAAAAAATTATACCTGGGAACACGCATGTGCAAACAACACACACACACACACACACACACACACACACACACACACACACACGTCCCATTCTGTTATTTATTGCATTTTTATCAATGACTCATCGTACCATATTACAGTTGCCTGTTTATTTGTACATTCCTACTTGTTTGAATTAAAATTTCCAGGTCATAATTGCTAAATATCTATGGAATGAATAATTAATAACTTTATTGCATGCTGCCAGAGTTGCTAGGCACTAAACACGACAACAAAGCAAATCCAGATCCCTTCCTAAATTTGCTTTTGACTTGCTTGGCTGTAGAAGAAAACTGGAGTGAAATGAAAGCCAGCAGCAGCAGCCACCCAATGACCTTCTCAAAAATCTATGCCCAATGTGTGGATCTGAAGGCAAAGCAGGATATAAATATTAAACGCATTAAAACATAAATGAGAAAGCGCAGGCAGGAAAACGGTAGAAAATCACCAAGTACACAGTACCTTCTTTGAACTTAGTTCCTCCTCATGGCCATCTCACATGCACTCATCTCTAGAAACGGCCATCACAAACAGTGTCTTTAAATATTCTGGACCATCCACTGGAGATAGCCCACATTTTTTGTAAGCCGAGTTGTGGTTGTACTAAAGATATTTTAATATAGACTTGATGCAAGGACACACCCAAAAGCATGGGTGTGGGCTCTTCAAAGAAGAGTCACAGTTCAGGGAAAAGATGTGTTTAATAAATATTTTAAGCTCAGGAGTTAAGAGCAAGAGAGATGCTCAGGAAAAGAATAATGCATACCCCGTGTGGGAATGAATCACTCGATTTTTTTGAATGATAAATTCTATAACAGATAAGAAAAAGGTTCATCTTACTTGGTACATTTGTTCTGATCCATCTTTCCTAGAATGGCTGTTCAACTTCAAACAAGTTTCATTAAATACTGAAATATTGAGAATTCCGCCATCTTCTAAGAGATCATCTTCTAGAAGACAAGAGAGCATATAAAAAGGTCAAATCACCAAGGAGACAAATCATGGCTGAATGTAAGTGCAGCTGGGACACTTTCAAGGGCCGGTAGGTGTTTAGTATGAAGAGCACAGCATTTACATTGACATTGACATTTGGTTTGCAGACTTAGACTCAAGCGCTAGTTCCACGGTTTGTTTGAATGTTTGTGAGTGTTTTCAATTGCTCTCCACCTTATCCTTCGAGACAGAGTCTCGCACTGAATCTGGAGCCTCCCCGATTCTGCTAGACTATCTGGGCAGCGCCCAGGATCCTCCTGTCTTCCCAGTGCTAGGAATGATTACAGGTGTGTTCCACGTCTCCTGGGTGTGTTCCGTGGGTTCTAGGGATCAAACTCAGGTCCTCACGCTTACACAATAAAGGATTTAACAACTGAGCCATCTCCCCAGCCTTGTCTCTTTTCTGGTTTTTCATTTGTTTGGGGATTGGTTTTCTTTTTAAGATTTATTTATTTTCATTTTATGAGTGTTTTACCTACATGTATGCCTATGTACCACATGCCTTCCTGATGCCCTTGGAGGCCAGGAGAGGGCATTAGATCTTCTGAAACAAGAACAACAAATGCTCTTATCCACTGAGCCATCTATCCAGCCCCCTTGCTTTGTCTTTTGAGCCAGGGTCTCACTTTGTAACCCTGGCTTCCTTGGACTTACTATGTAGCCCAGTCTGGCCCCTTACTCCTAATCCCTCTTCCTCAGCCCCCCAAGAACTGGAATTATGGGCGCGTACCACTACACCCAGAAATGTACCCTCTCCTGAGTTATATGAACTCAGTGAGATTCAGAAGAGTTTCTTATGAATCTTAATTTTCTCATTGTGAAATCACGTTATCCAACTTGCTTTCTCACATCATGGGCAGTTGGGAGAATTAAGTGAAATGCTGAAATATTGCCGGAAACTACTCAAGCTATGACCTTTGTAGCAGGTAGTTGTACTTAGATGGACCGTGTTAAAATGTCCTGAAGCGTATCTGTGGACAGATGTTCTGAGAATGAGGGAAATGGTGAGTAGAAGCTATGGGTGAGGAGTCTCAGGAGTTCTGTTGGTGCTTTCCAACAGAAAATGACCAGAAGTGGACTATGTGGCAGAAGATACGCGCTCTCACAGCAGACACGCTGCCCCAGCTCCGTGGCTGTTCTCAGCTAAGACAATTAACAATCCGGAGGCAGGCTTGCCCTAACCATTATATAGAAAAAGTCATTCCCCACCTCCTGCGGACAGAACATTCCTGCAATCCTTTATTTTCTTAATGCAGTCAAAAGAAAAGACTCCATAGGATGAATTGAAGAACCCACTTCCAGTCTAGGAGGAATTTCTAAGGAAAAGCAAATTTCCTAACAAATAAGCCTTTACATTCTCCACCAGTGAAAAAAGGTAGTTTGTTTCTTTGTTGGTTTTTCTTTCTATAGTGCTGGGGATCAACCTGCAGCTCATGTGTGCACACCATGCACTCTCTCCTGAGCTGCATCCACGGCTCCCAAACAAAAGCTTAAACATCTATCAGGGAGACTCTCTCCCATGGGAGTCTGGGTCACCTAAGAAGTAGTCATGAGAATGCCAACTTATTCCACTCAAAAGCAGGATGGCCCACAGCATTTTCAACATTGCTAACATAGGTAGCACAAGGCAATTAGCTGGGAGACAATATTCCTGACTGTAACTGGAAAATGTGAAAATACGGTTCTAGGAGTTTGAAGACCTGTCAAGCTTCTTTACCCTCTCAGTGTTTAACGTTTTCACAAGGATATCAGAAGGGGAAAAACAGCCACAGGATTCTGAGCACCGTCCAATGTATACGTGTATGGAATGTACAGAAGAGACAGCACATAATGTCTGTGACTGTACACACACACACAAGACACGCAGAGGTGCTCTCTACAAGTTCCCACGTAGCCATTACAGTCAGAATTCAGAGGAAGACGGTGCCGGGAACAAAGGCGTCTGGCTTCTACTTCCCACCCCCGCTCCTGACAGAAGTGACTGAGAATAACTAAAAATGGGTCAAAATTTGCATCTGGGTCGGAAGGAAAGGTTGGTTGCCATATGCAAGGCAGACACACAAAGACATCTAGGCTTAACACAGTGTGAAGAGACCAGGCTATAGGGAGGCTCAGAGCAACTCTTCAATCTGCCTTCCAAGCAAATGCGCATGGTCTCCAAATTTCAAAGGAAGGACTAGAGAACTCTAGACCTCGGAAGAATCTAGGTGGGCTACAGGACAAGTCAATGATGAACATCCTTGTGGAGCCACAGTCCATCGTCCCCAAATCTAATTGCACATCACAACCACACAGACACTCTAAATGGTGCTTGGACATCTATGGCGTGTCTTAAAGTTCACTCGACAGTTCTCCCAATCAAAGACTAACCGGGTCCCGTCCTGCTTAGCTTCTGAGATAGATGAGATCAGGCACATTCTGGGTCATCTGACTGTAGACTCACCTGGCAATTCTGAGAGGGCAAAAAGTATATTCACTACCATTGCTAATGCCAATGGTCACTTTCCAGCACACTGAAGATCAGCAACGCGGAAGAGCATCTAAGTGGAGACCCCAGGGCCAGAGAGCTCCACGTGACAAAACCCTGGGCTGACAGGACAGCCTGACTCTGCAGCTTCAGTAGGCTGCCGCTGCATCCTGAAGTCAGCCAGGACTGCCCAGAGAAACAGGGCTCAGCGGGTCCGAGAAACCGGAGAGGAGGCATGGAGTCAGCGAACTACTGGACAGATGCACAGACACACGTGCGGATGTTATCTGAGGTGGCAAAGCTTAATTCTTCATTTCATTTTTCCTCTTTCTCCTGCTCCTACTGTTCTTTCTCTGTTCTGTTCTAACCTGTTTTCCTCCTCCTCCTCTTCCTCCTCCTCTTCTCCTCTGCTGTTCTCCTCTACTTCTCTTGGTTTTCACTTTCCCCTTTATACTTCCTAATACATCACTTTCCCCTTTATACTTCCTAATACAGATTTCTATGAAAGACAGCCACAAGTGACATATTTTCCAAAAACAAATGAGAATCTTTTTTGTTTGTTTGTTTGTTTTTGTTTTTCAAGACAGGGTTTCTCTGTGTAGCTTGGATCTCACTCTATAGACCAGGCTGGCCTTGAACTCACAGAGATCTGCCTGGCTCTGCCTCCCGAGTGCTGGGATTAAAGGCGGGCGCCACCACCGCCCAGCTCACAAATGAGAATCTTTAGGCAGGAAGAAATCACATTATGATCACAAGGTAGTTGTTCTTCTTAGAAACCCACAGGCAGTTAAACATTTTCTTTTGTATTAATTTTCCCACCATAGCATCTTCACCCCCAAAAGCAATGGTTCTTTTATTACTGATTAACAAAGTTGTAAGCAAGCGAAGTATATTTCAGCCAGCTCCTTTTGTAGTGTAGCAGATTCCTACAAAACTTGACTCAAATGGTCAGCTAAACATCTATTTTTCTTGACACACAATAAGGTCATTTAATTTCCTTTCACAACTTTGTTGTTGTTAGTTTTTTTTTAAAGGTACATACCGAAACCTGTGAACTGGAACTCAGGCTTAACCTTGGGTGCAGGGACATAATTGCTTTTTTTGATCATCAGCCTGTTTTTCCAACAGGCAGAATTCATGGGTCTATAATGCATGAAACTTCCTGGTTCTTATTCCCCGTCCTCTGCAAATCTCACGTCTAACAACGGGGAAGGTAATTTCTAGCCTCTTGTTTTGTCTTTTTTGTATCTCTTATTGGAGCAGTTGACAGAACAATCGGAACCATTGCCCTCATCATGCTTACTCACTGTCCAGACACCTGTCTCTAACTCAGAAAGTCCAATTAAATCACAGATCTAACTAATCATCATCGCTCTTATAAAAATCATCTTCATTACGATCTGCAAGTAAACTGCCCAGTGAGGAGTGGGATTTTCCCAGGAAACAATCACGCTATATTAGATACAGTGGAAATCTTTCATGTAGTAACCACACCATGCCAAATACAGCAGGAACCCAGCAGCAGCAAGCAGGAGGAAGTCCAGCAGAAACAAGGGGCATTCTAGAGACAATCCCCCCACTCCCCACCCCGGGCTTTGCCTCTGCAGGGTTTACTCATTGTAGCTTCGTTACTTGGTGAACTGAACTCCATACGCTCCATGGTTGGCTGCAGTTCCTCTGACACGGCCACCAATACAGTGCAGAGCTGGCCCAAGACTAACCGCTTCACAATTAACCAGCTCGGCAATTAAACTGAGGGGGCTGAGCTCCCCCACCACCCCACCCCCCGCTGCCCCTCAAAGGAGGCGCTCACCCAACCTTCACAGGGAGGTCTGAGAGAAGCACACTGATATTTTCCAGTGAAGAGTAAGGTCAAAGGGAATGACGTCCACCCCATGAGGAAGCATCAGGCTAGACAGCGCTTAATCATCCCGGGATAAGTGATCTAGAAGGCTATGAGATGACGATTCTATCACACCAAGAAAAGAGAGGAAGGTATGCGTACGAGGTCAGGAGTTTTGTTGCTGTTGCTTTGTTGTTGATAGTAAGATTAAGCAGCACCCACCCATTCTGTGCTTTCAATAATAACTTCTTAAAAACATCCGAACTGATTGTAATGAAAGAAAAATGTACTTGAAAGGAAATGTTGAGAGGTAGAAATATAAAAGAGAACTAGCTGAGATTCCCCACACACTCCTCAAAGAGGAAATGAAGGTGCACAACAGAACTTACAGTGCATTATACACACACACACACACACACACACACACACACACACACACACATACACACACACACACACTAGGCATGGTTCACACTGCACAAGGCAGAGAGAAAAGGACGTGAACATTAGAAGGAGAAAGCAGAGGGTTCCACATTGGTATATTTGGGAAAATAAAATGGAATTGGGAAGAAGCAACAATCTGAGATGGAGATTTGGTGAAGGAAATCGTTCCTAATGTGTGGACAGATCAAAGTCCCCCAGGGTACTAGAAAGACTGAGCCAGTGCCCAGCACCCACACTCCCCAGACAGAAGCTTCCTGTCCTCACAGTTGAACTCAGTGCCTGTAACCAGGCTGTCAGGGGGCACTTACCTGAGCGTGAACACGTGACTACTGGCTTAACTTACTGCTAAAGGAAGCAGTTCTGATATCCACAGTGAAAATCAGATTGCCTCATAGGATTAAAAACAGGGAGTCAGGGGAAGCTTGAGGTATAGCTGGATGCTAGAGTCTGTGCTAGCATGTGTGAGACCCAAGGTTGACTTTTCAGCAACTCCTCCCCCTTCAAAAGGAGACAGAAAGTCACACATTCTCCCAAACCCTCCACTAAGGCTTTAAATTCCAAAGCCAATGTGATCTGTTCACAGAATTCTTAAAACAAGTTTATAACTCAAAAATTTATCTCCA